CAATCTTGGCTCACTGCAACCTCTGCCTCCCGGGTTCTCCTGCCTCAACCTCCTGAGTAGCTGGGATCACACCTAGCTAATTTTTTGTATTTTTAGTAGAGAGGGGGTTTCACAGTGTCAGCCAGGATGGTCTCTATCTCCTGACCGCGTGATCCGTCCGCCTCAGCCTCCCAAAGTGCTGGGATTACAAGCGTGAGCCACGGCGCCTGGCTCAACTTACACTCAGTTGACTGGGGCAGAGAATGTGAGTTTCATACGTGCCAGATGTAGGCTGACCACAGGAGGAAGCTGACACGGGGGTGCCTCGGGCCCTGTCCAATAGGACATCCCAAGAGGCAAAAAGCCTCTGCACAGAGAATCAAAAAATTCCTTGGGGCTGCAGAGGGACTAAGCAACCAACCCAGGCTTCTTCCATCCTCAGGTTCCTCCGTTTCTAGGACCTTGTCACTATCTGCATGGTTGAAGCCTCTGTCATGTTCAGGTTCAGCCGAAGGGATGGGGAAGAGAGTGGGGAAGAGGTACACCTGGAAGGTGGAGATGCATAGAACTGCAGAGAGGCCCCTGCAGATGACAGCTTCCTAGTGACGGCAGATGGTTTCTGAACAATCTACAGACTACCTCCCGGGAGTTCAATGCTATGGTTAAACACTGGCCATACTTGGAGAGTGCCACCATCGTCCCACAGTTCCGTAGTAACTAGGCAAGGAAGAGCCTTCCTGCTCCCCAGACTCTTCTCCCTGCACCCCGAAACCCACCTCCCAGGAATGGAGGAGAGAGAAATCAGAAGTAGCTAAAGAGAGAGAAGGCAAGTGAGAAAAGTGAACTGTCCACCCTTCTCTTCCTGAGTCTTTTTGTGTGCAGCAGACCACAGTTGGGGGAGCGAGGGAAACTCTTGTGAATGAAGACTGGAAATTTGATAATCATGCCGGCCAAGGAATTTTAGTTGAGACTGTACTTAACACTTAAAATGCCTACAGTATATTCTGTTTTCCAAGAGAGACAAGAAAAATCATGGGATAGTCCAAGTTTTCGTCTGGGAACAGGGGTTGGATGTGAATAAGCGCTCAGAGCCAATGTAAAACGGCCTTGGGAGCCTAGACCTGCTTTCTGATTTAGAGCTTGTTTGAAGTCAGACCGCCCATGGGGTCCCGAGCCCGGCCCACCGCCTTAGGGTGGCTGCTTGGAGACAACCGGCCAGCCAAGCAGATCGCTCCTCTTTTCCACCGTGAAGAGTCACCACTGGGCGGCCGGGCACGGTGGCTCACGCCTGTCATCCTAGCACTTTGGGAGGCCGAGGCGGGTGGATCACCTGAGGTCGGGAGTTCGAGACCAGCCTGACCAACATGAAGAAACTCTGTCTCTACTAAAAATACAAAAAATTAGCTGGGTGTGGTGGTGCATGCCTGTAATCCCAGCTACTTGGGAGGCTGAGGCAGGAGAATCGCTTGAACCCGGGAGGCAGAGGTTGTGGTGAGCCAAGATCGTGAAATTGCACTCCAGCCTGGGCGATAAGAGCAAAACTTCGTCTCAGAAAAAAAAAGTCACCACTGGGCATGGGGCCACCTAGCAAAGGACTGCATCTCTCTGGCCTTCTCACAGGTAGGTCACACGGCTGGCTCTTGCCAATGCTAGAAAGTGGAAGTGATGCGTCCATGGAAACAGCAGGTGTACCTCCTTCCCCGTCCCTTTGACTGAACCTGAATGTGGCAGTGGCTTCAACCCTGCAGATGGCGACAAGGTCCTAGAGATGGAGGAACCTGAAGACAGAAGAAACCCTGGGTGCCTGAGTGACCATGTGGAGCAGAGTGGCTTTTCTATGAAAAAAGAAAGTTGAGTTCTTCTCTTGTTATAGCAACTCAGCCTTTTACTGTGAGTGGAAGAGCACCCCATTTTCTGAGTTCTCTGAACCACATCCAGACACTGTACCCCAACTCACTGGACTCTCCCGCTAGAGAGCAGCCCCTCAGCTGGCTCAGTGATAAAAGCCCTGGAGACAAAAATGTGCTTTGGAATCAGACACGGTTTCTCACTCAACTCTGCTTCCTCCTGGCTGTGCAATCTTGGACAAGTGACTACCTCTCTGAACTCAATTCCCTCTTATCCAAAAAGGGATTCCAGCTAGCTCTGCCATGAGGATCCAATGACAGGATGCAGGTAAAAGGCTCAACACAATGCTTGGCACAGAATGAGGTCTTTGCAAAAGTCAGATCCCGTTCCCTTCCCCCATTGCTGGCAGCCTTCACTGTGAGTCCCTGGCAGGCCTCCCACCAGCCCCCACCAAGCCTTGACGCAGACCAGAGTTTTTCTTTCGAGTAAGTGACAGGTTCAGGGAGGCAGAAGAGAGCAAGTACTTAGAGTTCACAGCACGGAATTCTTTGAAATCATATTCCCAATGCTCCCTTCCTAGGGTCGGGGGATTAGCTGGCTATCCTGGGCTTGGCTCTAAATGGCCTCGCCGCGCGGGGAATTTTCCTACAGTCTTATCCTACCCTCTGTCCCAGGGCTAAGAATATATATATCCGTCTCCTCTGCAGCAGCCCGTCGCTGTTGACCCCATTCCAGGACAAGGACTGTGGGATGCAGGGAACAAGGAGTGGGGCTAGAGCTGGGGCTGGGGCGAGCGTGTTCTGCTTGGTGATGATTGGCATGTTGTGAATTATGCAACAGGAATATTAATTCCTTCTAGCAGAGGCCAGCAGGGCTGCGAGAGGCTGTTGGTGTGTATCTGGTCCAGATGCCTTCCTCCCGCCTCCCATTTACTCATGAGGAAAAGAAGGCCCGGAAGGAGGCGAGACTTATTTGCAGACTCACATGAAGAAATGGAGTGGCAGCGGCAGGCTGGGCTCCAGCTGGACCCCGTGGGAGCCTGGCCCCGTGCACCAGCGCCCGTCTTACGGGGCAGTGCTGATGGCGATGCGGAAGGGAGTGTTTGCCTCCAGGCTTCGTGTGCATGAAAACCGAGATCTAGAGAGTATCTGAGGGACATGCCCCCCACACTGACCTGGGACTGATGTGGGCAAAAGCTTGGAGGGGAGCTGGACTGCTACATTAGCAGAAGCTGGGAGATGGGCCCCAGGTAGGCAGAGGTTAGGAGATGTGTCCTTGGGTGGGCAGAGGCTGGGAGCGGGGCCTCTAGATAGGCAAAAGTTGGGATTTATCCACCTCCCTACACCACGGACTTGCGTGGTCTTGCCTCCACCACAGCCTGGTTCTCTGTTTGGTGAATGTCTGTGCAGGAGTTGTGGCTTCCCAGGGGACAATGTGGCTCCCAGTGGACCTTGAACTATCTGCCTCTCGACCTCCTTTAGGGCCTGGCTCCCTGATCCTGCTGGTGGCATTTGCTGATCAAAAGAACAGACTGTCTCCACCTCCTGGATGCAAAATCTTTCCTCACCCAGACGGAGATCAGAGAGCCTCTGGTGCTAAAGCCCTGATCTGCCGCTTCACCAGCTATGCCATCTTGGACAAGATATTGAGCTCTCTGAGCCTAAATGCTCCCCTGGGGTGAATGTGTGTGGCTTCCCTCAGGGCTGGGTGACAGGATCGTGTGAGACGTGCCAGGTAAACACACAGTGGGCACTCGCTGGCCTTTTCCTTTCCCTCTGCACAGGAAAGCGTCTGAGCGCCAGGGGGCACGTTCAGTGTTGTTCAGGGCCCAGACCTTCTCACTCAGCCTCCCCTTGCCATCCCCACCCGCATCCTATCTCACTTCACAGGAGGACTCGTGCTGTGAGCCCATGTGTACCCAGTTCCATCTAGAATGTGGTCCAACAAATCCACCACAGGCGGGCGGGGGCCGTGTCCCGGCCCCGGGAGTGAGTCTAAGCAAGGCTGCCCATGCTCGGCATTTGAGGCCAGATCATTCTCAGTGGGGTGGGGGTGGAGGGGCAGCCTGTCCATTGAAGGATACTGAACGGTGTCCCTGGCCTCCACCCATGAGGTGAGAGTAGCACCCCCAGCCCCAGGCTTGGAAAAGGTTTCCAGACATTGCCAAATGTCCCCTGGAGGTGAGATTGCTGCTGTACAGGAACCACAAAGAACCAGACACAGAGAACCTTCCAGAGCTAAGTCTGCAGGAAGCCCCTCCAATGTGGACACGGACACCTCTGCATACACCCGGAGGATCCAGGAGGCCAGGCTGAGGGAGGGCATCACTTCCCCCAATTTAAACTTGAAGGTGGACTCAGTGCTGACCCACAGGGCCAGGGCACCCCGCAGGTGCATTTTGGGAGGGAAAGGCCAGCTTTGGTTGGGGAGGGAGGCACACCTCCTCTTGGAAATACACAAAATACACATGGGCAAGGACACAGCTTTGTAACAAACCCACTTTTATTGATAGTGTACACGGAGATCCATGGCGGCGGGTGTGCCTGGGTGACAGTACGCCACACACCTGTGTGGCCGGGGTGCCCGGCCTGCTCGGGGAGCTCGGGCGGGGGCGGAGCGGGGGACAGAGGCAGGCTCGGAGCTGCTGCCTTGGGCACAGACGCAGGCAGGGCCAAGGCTGGGGTGCAGGTGCAGGTACGCAGAGCTGGGGCCAGGGCTGGGTTGCAGGTGCAGGTATGCAGGCAGGGGCCAGGGCATGTGTACATCTGTGTTCATCTGCGTGTACTTGTATATACATGGGCATGGTGTACACAATATCTACAGGGACCCTCACAGACTGAGCTAGGGAGAGGGTTGAGGACAAGATGTTCCAAAGCCCTGAAGGCCCCAGGGGCCAAGCATCAAGAGAGGGGGCACATCGTGGTATGTACTGAATGCCCAGTGCTAGCTTACTTCTGCCACCCACAGACTTGCTGTGTGACCTGGGGAAAGCTACTTACCATCTCTGGACCTCAGAAAGACCTATTAGATGCTCACTAAGGTTCCTTAGGGCCCTAAAACTTCAATACGTTTAGACAGATTAAAATACAAAATATGCTTGTTAAGAGCTGATGAGAAGGGCCTTTGGTTTATGGGTTCGAAACCCACCATGCCTGAGTACATGGTGGTACCCAGTACAGCCCAATCCCGGGCACAAGGAAAAGACCCACCCTGAGCTTCTCTGTCAGAGCCCTTCCTGGCTCAGTTCTGAGTCCTAGCTGCTCCTCCCTGCCCCCTCACCACTGTGTGTGCAGAGGGTGGCAGGGCAGCAGGGGTGGGCAGGGGCCAGGGCTGGGGACCCTCTTGGTTTCCTAGGACACAGTGAACCCAGCACCCAGTAGGTGCTTAATAAATGCTTGCGTAACAAGAACAGTAGAGGACAGCTAGGTTCTAGGTGGAGCTGTACCCTGAACTTGCTGGGGGGCAGTGGGGGGACCTGGGGCTCATCATGTCCCTACCAGGCTGTGTCCTTGCCCGGTGGTATCCTCTGTGAAATGGGAGCATAAAAAAGCAGCCGTGGCCTGTCTGCCCCACGCTTGTGCAATCGTCTGCAAACTGTGGAGCTCGGTGGCAGAGGTCAATATCTAGCTGCAGACAGGCCATGGGAACCCTGTTCAGGAGCAGAGGAGAAGGCGTCCCTGGTGGAGGCCGTGGATCTGAACTGGGTGAGGACCTGGCCAAGGAGGGGGTCACTAGGCTTTTACAGTACAGTGATTTCCATTTCTACTGCTACACATGACATGAAAACAGCTGCAACCACAATAAAGCACAACTGTCGGGGGGGACCTGGGAGAGGAGGGACGGGGAGGGGAGGCTGAGGAACGCGGTCAGGAGGTGGGCGTGGTCTAGGTGTGGCCAAGCCCTTCAAACACACAGCCGCGGCTGGCTCAATGTCAGGGGCAACTGGAGGGGTGCAGAGGCAGCTGAACCGGAGGGCAGGAGTTGCGGGGCTGAGAGAGACATTCTCTCAGCTGCCACCCAAGCCAAGCTGGGTCTTATGCCAGGAGAGAGGAGACCTCTCCCATCTGGGTCCCGGTGTCCTTTCCATCCTGGTTCTTGTCCCAGGAGGTTCCATTTGACGCAGCAATCCTCATCCCTCTGGCATCAGCGTTTCTTCCAACCTCAGGAGAGGAAAGCATAACTTGGGTCTCTGCGTAACTCTTTAGGCTGCAGAGATGTGTCTTCCCATAGAGGAGCATAACCACCAAGGAGCTGCGGACGAGGAGACTCGGGGACGCTGTGAGAAGGCAGACGGATATGCGGAGGCAAGTGCCTGGGGGCCTCCAGCCTGGTGCCAAGTCTGTGAACAAGCCTGCCACGGGGGCCTCGGTGGGGGGATGCGCACAGCAGGCATCTGGGGCCACCTCCCTGAAGGCACAGCCCAAGCCCCACGCCAGCATCCCTTGCTCACTGGATGGTGCACTTGTCCCTCTCGCGGGCCTGGCCTTCCCGAAGAACCTTGGCCTTGATGTACTTGAGGTCACTGTTGACGCTAGGGCGGCGGGCGAAGGGCGAGACCATGCCGTAGGCATCTACCTCCTTGATGCGGCGCATGCAGAAGGGCCTGGGGTGGAAGGCGTCGCCGTACTGCACGGAGATCTTGCGGTGCAGGGCGGGGCTCATCTCGTGCGGCAGCTTGGCCATGCTGAAGAGCACGTAGAACATCTCGTCCACGTTGGTGTTCTTCTTGGCCGACACCTCGAAGTAGGCACAGTTCTCGTCGCCCGACACCAGCAGCTCGGCCTCGGTGGTGGGCACCTGGCGGCAGAGCTCGCCGTGATCGTTCTTGTTGCCACAGATGACCATGGGCAGCTCCCCCGCCTCCTTGGTCTTGTTCTTCAGGCAGGACTTGACCTCTAGGATCTGCTTCTGGAGGCGCTTGACCTCATCGAAGGACTCCCGGTTATCCAGGCTGAACACCAGGATGAAGACGTCCCCTGCAGGGAGAGAGCCCAGGCAGTGAGTGCACCGGCCAGCTGCGCCCCTGCCCTCCTCTCGCCACAGAACATCAGTCCCAACAGCCGGCAGTCACAGGTGCCCTGAGGCAGTGGCCCAGCGTCACTGACTCAAAACCTTCGCCGCGACTTTGTGGGGTAGCTGCGATTATTCTCCCCATTTTCCAGGGCAGGAAACTCAGGACGAGGGGGTTGAAGCCCCTGTTCAAGGTCGCACAGCTAACACGTGGTATCGCATGGTTCGAATATGGTTAACGCACTTCACATTTCCTTGCAGGGCGGGGGAGGGGTGAGAGTGACTTGTGTGGACTGCATTCAGATAATAATAAAAGTCATTTCCAGGAGAGCAGGGGTCCTGCCTGTCTTGCCCAATGCCTGGTTTGCACCTGGCCTCGTCCACTTAGCTGCAGGTCTTGAAACCTCTGTAATCTCAGTTCCTCTGTCTGTTTCATGCAGATGAAATATGACCTTGCAGGATTATTTTGAGAGTTATACAAGATCATGAATGGACGGTGGCCTCAGGTGTCAGTGACAATGAGAACGAGGGCCTGCTGGGAGCCAAGCATCAGGTATCTGCCCCAGGCCCACTGTTCTCTTGATTCCTCACTACGCCTCTGTCAAGGAGATTTTGTTACCTTTGTGTTACAGGTGAGCAAACTGAGGCTCAGAAAGGGTACGCGACCTGCCCGAAATCACATAGCTTCTGTGTGGCTAGGCTGAAACGTCTACCTGATTCTGTCCTCACCTAGCTGGTGCCTGGTACATAGTAGGTGCTCTCGGCTTCTCAAATCATAGGATGAGAAAGTGAGCGCCGGCCTCCAAGGCCCACACCGCCTCCACGATAACTCACCCACCGCATCACTCAAGGCAGGCTTTGGAATCTGAAACAGTGGCTGCTGTGGAGATGGTAAGGCGGTGGGGAGGCTGTCTGGATGGGTGCCTCCATCCCGATTTCCAGCTCTTAATAAGCATCTTTCTCACTTTTACTTAAACTCTTTTTTTTTTTTTTTGAGATGGGGTCTTGCTCTGTCGCCCAGGCTGGAGTGCAGTGGTGCGATCTCGGCTCATTGCAACCTCCACCTCCTGGATTTAAGTGATTCTTCTGCCTCAGCGTCCTGAGTGGCTGGGATTACAGGTGTCCCGCCACCATACCTGGCTAATTTTTGCTTTTGTTTTTGTTTTGTTTTGTTTTCTTCAGACAGAGTTTCACTCTTCTTACCCAGGCTGGAGTGCAATGGCATGATCTTGGCTCACCACAACCTCCGCCTCCTGGGTTCAAGTGACTCTCCTGCCTCAGCCTCCCAAGTAGCTGGGATTACAGGTGCCCAGCACCACGCCTGGCTAATTTTTTGCCTTTTTAGTAGACACAGGGTTTTACCATGTTGGCCAGGATGGTCTCGAACTCCTGACTTTAGGTGATCCACCTGCCTCAGCCTCCCAAAGCACTGGGATTACAGGTGTGAACCACCACGCCCAGCCAATTTTTGTTTATTTAGTAGAGACGGAGTTTCACCACATTAGCCAGACTGGTCTCAAACTCCTGACCTCAAGAGATCTTCCCACCTCAGCCTCCCAAAGTGTTGGGGTTACAGGCGTGAGCCACTGCGTCCAGCCACTTTTGCCCAAACTCTTGATAGCCTTGTGGTTTGGATACAAGATCCCTGTCTCACAGATGAGGAAACTGAGGCCCAGAAGAATTAGCAACTGGCCCAAGTTCTCGAGAGGAGAAGCAAGCAGTTCCAGCTTCTGGCAGAACAGCTGCCTACTTCCTCTGCACCTCCAGAGCACACCATTTGCCCCCACTTACTGGCACATGGCACATTCAGAATGGTGTCCAGGCCAAGGGTGTGCTCCAAACAGTGAGCTCTGGTACAGAGGAGGGCTCCATCGCCCACTCATCGTGGTCTCCTCGGGGCCTGGCACACGGCAGGTGTTCACCAAGGCAGGCTGAATGGATGGGAGTGATGGAGTGAAAGGCACTTGCAAGGCAGCATCAGCTTGGCAACTTTTCCTGCTTGCACTGCCAAACCCCATGGCGTTAGGCTAATCCGGGGCCCCTGAGGACTCGCGGCCTTGACATATTCAAATGTGAGTCTGCAATGCCAAGCATCAGAGATCTGCCCGGCTGGCATCTGGAGGAAGAGCTCACGGTGGAATTAATGGCTTTCAGAATTTCCTGGGTGGCAGGAAAATGAGGTTGGAAAAATGAGGTTCCACCAGGTTGGAAAATGAGGCACCGGTTGGTGAGTGAAAAAAACAAGCATCAGACAGATGTGCTCAGAATGAGATGCGCTGGGAAAAAGAGCCAGGCACAAATATTCTCCATCGTGGGGATACAAATACTTCACAGAGGCCCGGAAGGCTCCACACCAGATGGCCACGGTGGCCACCTCGAGGGCAGGGACAGGAGCCCGGGATGGGGGACGTGGGTCAAAGGGGCATTAGCTTTATCTGCAGCATTTGCAGGAGGGTGTGCTTGTGTATTACTTGTGTCACTGAAAATTCATGCTGAAAACGGGCACAGGCTTCCTCTCTTCATCTCCCGCCTCCCTTCCTCTGTCATTAGCCTTAGTTATGGCAGTGGGTACCCAGTCCCCTCCCGAAGGCTGGGAGGGTTGACACCCATTCAATCAATATGCATCATGTGCTGGAAGATCCCGCCACAGGACTTATGTGGACTGCGTTCAAATAATAATAAAAGTCATTTCCAGGAGAGCAGGGGTCCTGCCTGTCTTGCTCAATGCCTGCTTTGCATCCGGCCTCATCCGCTTAGCTGCCAGCTGTCTCGGACGGTCCTCACAGCCTCCGCATGGGGTCTGAGGTTAAGCCCACTGTGCAGCTGGAGAGGCTGAGACTCAGATGGGATGCATATACCTCTCGTCACACATTTAAGCCAAGAGGCCCAGATGGGATTCGAACACAGGTTGACCCAGGGCTCTCCTAACTACATGCCCCTTCTCCAAAACTTGGGGTGGAGTGGGGAGCTTGATTGCTGTTTGGGTCAGATGCTCCAAAAAGCCAGCCTGGAAGAGGAAGCACTCAAGGAGGGCTCCCCTGACCCCCCGTGGCCTCAGTCTTGGCCTTGAGGCCTGGGGCAGGGCTGGCCATGGCATGGGTTTCTCGGTGCGGAAGTTATCTCCGTTTGAGGGTTATCTTAATGATGACTAGAGAGCCACCTGCTCGCTCCTTCCCTTATCCCTGGCCAGCAACAGCAGGGGCATGGCTTGGGAAATGATTGTCGGAGCAGGCCCATGACAAATGCTGACTCAACAGAAGTCCCTTGGGATTTATTGCGCACTTACTATCTGCCCACCAAGTGCTTTACATATATTCACTCATTCAATTCTCACTGTGCCCTTAGGATGAGTGCTGATGTGATGCTGATTTAATAGGTGAGAACGCTGAGGCACAGAGAGAAAATCCCTTGCCCTGAGTTACAAAACCAGGAAGCAGTGGAACCAGGACTCAGACCCAGGCTCTGGGTCCCGGGTTTAACCTCCCTGTCCCTCTGTACTGCTCCCAGCAGAGCTGAGAGACCGTGGTGTGGTTTTGTCTGAGAATACAGGAGCAGGCTGCCTTTACGAGCTGTGGGACCACTGGACCGAGTCCCTTAACCTCTCTGGGCTCCAGTTTCTCCAATTCTAAAAATGGACTGAATAAACTATTTACTTCTGAGGGTTAAATAACCACATGCCAAGCTCTAAGAACAGGAGCAGGCCCACTGCTCCTGATAAGTGTCAGCTGCCATCACCATCACTGTGACTATGACCAAGGCCCCTTCCCTTTGATGACTACTCCCTGGGTCCTGCCCTTACCTCTCTAGGAGGTGGCAAAGGCCTGGGGTGTGGGAGACCTGAGCCCTGTGGACTGACCTTGGGCCTCGGAGCTCTGCTGGGTCATCTCCAGAGGAGGGAAGCAGAAGGCTGGGCATCATTCTGTTCCCTAGAAAGGAATATCCCTGGGGCACGCTGCTATCAGCTCCTGATCTGGAAGGTGGCACCGACAGCCATGAGTAATCGATCTGGAGTCTAATAGAATGGAATCGAGCCCCTGCCTCCATCACTGGTTCCAGCAAGTGACAAAACCTCTCTGAGCCTCATTGTGCAAGGATGACGCCTGTCTCAGACGATGGCTGTGCAAGTACCGTGCACACTGCCAAGCGCGCAGCACATTCCACACCCATGTCCCGGCCCTGCCACCCCAGCACCGGCACCGGCGGGCCTCACCTGTGAGGATGGAGAGCCTGCGCATGGCAGGGAAGGGGTGGTTGCCGGAGGTGTCCAGGATGTCAAGCTGGTACATGTCGCCGCGGATGTTGTACACCTTGCGGTGGAAGTCCTCGATGGTGGGTGTGTACTGGTCCTCGAAGCGGCCATTGAGGAAGCGAGACACGATAGAGCTCTTGCCCACCCGAGAGGCACCCAGCACCACCATACGGTATGAGTTCTTGGCGGGCACACTGAGCGTGCAGTTCCCGCTGGACAAAGTCTTCATCATGGCTCGGGGCTGCAACAAAGAGCAAGGGAAGTAGTCATCGGGGGCCCCCTGCCTGGCCCCACCGCCCATTGTTAGAGGACTTGGCCCCCTCTCTTGGGGACTCTGTCTAGGTCTCGGTTTTTCTGTCTGTAGAATGGAAATGTCAGACAAGGTCCTGAGGGGCCTTGGAGTTCTACCCTCTCATTCATTCCTGCCCTTGCCTTCACTCCTTCATCCACTGACACCATCCGTTCATTCACCCTTTGGTTTGAGCAAGCACCAGACTGCTGGGGTTTGAACCCTCGACTTGCCTCTTGCTACTGATCTTGAGCAAGCGGCTTAAACTCTCTAGGGGTCACTTTTCTCATCTACAAAATGAACCCAACTCGCAGATCTGCTGCAAAGGACTCAGCACATGGAGAAATCTCAAAAAACGGTATCTCTTTCAAGAATCCATTCTTTCCCTGGTTCATCCACCTGGCTTTCCGGGAGCCTGTGATTATTCCAGGATAAGACATGGGGAAGGCACTAGCATGCATTTTTTTAAACCTGGGGCCGGCAGGGAAAGGGGGTTCTGTGGCCATTCAGCCCTCCTGGGAAGAAGGGAATGCTGTGTCCACACCACATGCTCCAAGCCCGATGCCTGGGGTTGCTCCTGCAGCCATCCCGGGAGGACCCACCTTTAGACCTGTGCTCTGCATCTGGCGGTCTCCCTCCCGCTCCATGGCCTGCCTGCAGATTTTTGCCTCCCAGGCCCTAGGTGTTTACTTGCCTCTGGGGGACCCCAAGGCCCGGAGTAGAGGATGTGGGGTGGGGAGTAACCCATGGCTGGCTCAAGCATCCCTCACAACTCCAAGGGTTAACGGTTCTGGAGCAAATCCACAGCTGTCTATGGGAGCCCCTTGACCTCATGAAAGAGGCTGACATGGGTCCAAGCTCTTGTATAAACAAACCCACGGGCTCCACCAGGCCCACCCCAATGGCCCTTCGCAGCCCAGCCCTCCCTCCTTTCCTACCTCAGTGCCCACCAGAATCGCCCCAGATCCCCTGAGCCCAGTCTCCGTAGTTCGTTTGAGCTCTGCTGAGATCAGCCTCCACTCCTTTGCTCAGGCTACCCCCTGCAGAACGGCCTCCTCCCCTTCAGGGTCTGGCTCAAGTGCCACCTGTTCTCTAAAGGCCTTTCTCATCCCGCCACCCCAGGAGGAGTCCTTCCTCTCTCCAGAGGAGAGCTTTCCAGCCCCTGAACTGCAAGTGGGCACAGGCCTGCTGAAGTATCAGTCCCCTTGGTCCTCTGCAGGCTGCCACAGGTTGTGCAGGTTGGCCACTGCACAAGGCACCCGGCTGGGTGGGCATGTAGGGGCTGCATCCCAGAGGTGGGGACATCTTGTGTCAAGGAAGAGGCACTGTTTTTATATTCACACAAAGCGCTGCATGTGCCAGCCTCGCTCCCCACCCTGGGATGCCCCATGTCGGTTTCCTTGAGTGCCTCGTCCATTGGCCCAAGGCGCTTTCCAATACCATCTCTTTCCGGTTATCATGATGCCAAGGTCTGGGGTGGCCCCTCGAGGTGGAGAGATCGCCTGCGTGCGAGTCCCCGGCACACATCTGGGTCTACTCACCCTGTCCAACTACCAGTCTCTGTGCAGGAAACTGGCTCTCAAAAATACCTTTGTGAAAAGCCCTGATTGGTGGTATTTGCCCATTTCCATGAGGTGAATGCTCCCACCACGGTCAATTCTAAGCTGCCAATGTGACTTGGATGAATGAATCACAAAGAGGCGCACACAATAAGCCAGCTCAGCACACGGCAGACCCCAGGCCTGGAGCCACAAGGACAACAACTGTGGCCACCTGAGCCCATGCAGTGTGCCAAGCTGTGCACTAAGTATAGAAATAATCATAGCTGGCATTTATTTTGCAGCTAAAATATGCCAGAATGTTCTAAGGGCTGCACACATGTTAACCTATTTCTCCCTTTAGTAATCCCAGAAAGCAGGTGGTGTTTTTCTCCAATTTACCGATGGGGAAACTGAGGCACAGAGAGGTTACATTACTTGCTTACAGTTACACAGCCAGTAACCAGCAGAGGAGGCGTTTGATCCCAGGTGGTCTGCGCCGCGCTCAGGAGGCTACATGACTAGCCTACTTCATTAATAGGGGAGCCTGGGCAGTAGTTCAAGCCTAAGACCCCCAAGTCCTCCACCCAGTTCCCGCCTAAAGCTGTCTTTGAATTTATCCCACAAAACTGCCATGCCATGTACACAGCAGGAGCTCAATAAATGGTCTGTACATTAATCAAATGGCAAATGGCTCTGTCTTTGGGCTTGCCTGAATTTCCCCTCTGGGACCTTCTCTCCTCAGCCTCAACCACCTGACTGGCCCAGGGGCCATGCTAAGGACGGCCTCCCCACCAGGGCAGCCCTGATGAGGTGCCCAGGGCATAGGTGTGGGAGGCAGGAAATGAGAGAGAAGGGTGCAGAGGGGGTTACTGCCAGACCACAGCAGGGAGCCCTTCTCAGTCTCTGCCAGGTTGTCTCAGCCAGCCTGGGCCTTCAGCAGAGATGGGGAGAAAGAACACCCCCCCAAGTCCCTCTGCAGAGAGTTTGACTTTGCTGGTGGTCACTTCTGTCTAGATAGAGGACAGGAAAGGGGCCAGAAGCTCCCAGGGACAGTATTTGTCTCCAACACTGCCCTGCCCAGCCTCCAGCCCAGAGCTTGGTACAGACGAGCTAATAGCAATGACTGAATGGGCTTCAGGGAGTCAGAGAGAGGAGGCAGGGAGTCAGAGAGGCAGAGAATCAGAGAGGGGAGGCAGGGAGTCAAAGAGAGAAGGCAGGGAATCAGAGAGAGGAGGCAGACAGTCAGAAAGAGGAGACAGAGAGAGGAGGCAGGGAGACAGAGAGAGGAGGCAGGCAGTCAGAAATAAGAGAGGGAATCGGGAAGGGCAAAAAAGGAGGAAAAAATTCTCTGTGGCTTTTATCGCTGAGAAAAGACTGATTCTTCACATGGCGTGAGCCACGTGGGGCTGTGTGAGACATTTGGACACCTGGACACCAGGTGACAGTGCCTCTGCAGGCTCCGCCTCCCACCCCCACATCTTTCTTCCCTCTCCTCCCCCAGAGGTGGCACCACCGGCAGCCTCGTGGACACAGCTCTCCTCTGCAGCCTGTTCTCCCTTCTCCACCCTCAGCCAGGCTGACCTCACACAGCAAGCAGCAGGCAGGGCTGCGTTTGAAGGACCCTTTGGGAATTTAGAGTCCAATATCAATGACTGAATGGATTTCAGGAAATCAGAGAGAGGAGGCAGAGAATCAGAGGAAGCAGGGAATCAGAGAGGGGAGGCCCACAGAGGTAGGAGATTCAACAGCGACCCCCTAGCAGCACAGGTATCTGAATGCATGTGCTGTGACTTCTGAGCCCACCACACAGCCATTCTGAGGAAGGTGGGAGGCAGAAAGTTTCCAGAGTAGGGATGAGGAGGTGACATCCTGGGGGCACAGTAACCACAGCCAGGAAGGCATCCATCAGCCCACTTGATTAATGGGGACATTGACACTCAGAGAGGTTAAGTCACTTGCCCCAGTCCACACAGCAGACGACTGGCTGGGCTGGGATCAGAACCAGGCTTTGACTCCAAAGCCTGGCTCTTAACTCTATGAAAATCCACCCCCAGACCGAAACTTGTCTTTTTCAAAACACTGTCTGACTCAGTGAAGCCTCAGCTGGCGTCAGGCAGGGAGGTGACCCCTGAGGCATATTATATTCTCACTCCCTCTCTGCCTGCAAGCAGTGGGGCAGGGAGGGGGTAGGCACCTCCCAGGATTCTCCCCCAACCCTGCCAGCCAGCTCCCAGCATGTGCACACGTGGATTCGCCACTTCTCCCTGGAGCCTCTCCCCCAGGGCCTGCCCGGAGAATGGAGGGGTCACACAGGCACAGGCAGCAGGACGTCTGGACGTGTCCTCCCGGTGTGTGCCCCAGAGTCTATTTCACTGGACTCCCTCTCCTCCACCCTCCCATGCCTCCTCCATCAGCACACACTCAGCCTCTTTGGACACGTACATTGCAGTCACTGGTCTCCAGCTGCCACTTTGAGAGTCCAGGGGCTTGGCAAAGCCAACCCCATCAAAGCCAACCCCATCTGGCAGCTCAGATGGTAGAAGGTAGGCAGGCATCTGGCTTCCGGCAGGCCAGCTCTGCCTCTCACCAGCCCAGCACCACTGGGCAAATGACGTGGCTTCCCACCGCTCAGGTGACTCCTTGTTAATGGTAAGAAACAAACCCCCTGTGTAGCCCTGGGCTTCCAATAAGTTTGGAGGCTGCCCTAGCTCCTGGCCCGCCGCAAACCTGAACACACGCTGGGTTCTTTTCTTTGGGGCACTTTCTCTTGGCAGTCATGGGGCTGCCTAGAGCAGCGGGTGAGGCTGAGCTGGAATGCGGGCACTGGTCTTGGATCCCATCTTGTCTGACACCACCGGAGGCCTGAATCACCGGCTCCTTACCTGGCTGCCCGCTCCCAGCCTGGCTTCCCACCTTCTATGAGGTCTTGGACAATATCCCCCATCATCCTCCCAGTGCTGGGGACATGGGGAGGGGAGGGCACAGAGAGGCCTCCAGAGCTGCCTTCAGGGCCCTCTAAGACAGCTAAGTTACAGGAAACCCCTCCTGGGAAGGGAGTCATCCAGGAAAGTTACTCTGCACCAACCCAGAGAAAGCTCAAGAACTCTGGATGAAGGGACGAGCTTCTTAATCTTCCTTCCCCACCTCCAGGTATGTAGGCTGCAGCCAGCTCCAGAAGGGGGACAGGAGTGTTTGAGGAAGTTGACTCTTCTTCCCTGAGCCTCAGTTTCCTCCTATTTAAATGGGCTATTACTCTAGCTCTCTTAAATGGAAAGCCTCTGGCACCAAAACTAGCACATAGTAGAAGCTCAATGCATCTTTCTTTCCTGGGATAAGTAAAGGGTCTAGCACCGAGTCTGACACATAGATAGAGTAGGTGCTCAACGAATTCAATTTTCTCTAGGTACGTAAAGTTGCCAGACGATCCCTGCACATAGGAGGTGCTGTCAATTTCACTTTCTCTGGGTCATGCAAGGAACCACTGGGCTTTCCTACCCCAAGCCTCTACCCTTTCTTACCGGCTGCTCCTCTTCCCTCAGATCCCCAGGTCTGTTGGGGTGTCTCCTACCTGGGAATGGCGGGCTGGGCCTCTGGTTCGGCTAGAAGAGCTGCTTGGAAGCGCCGGGAGCTGCGGGGAGCCGCCTGATGCTCCAGCCGCCGCCGAGCCTCCCAGAGTCTGTGGCGCCTCCTGGGTCACTGCGCCCGGATCCTCCCCTGCGCGGCTCGGGGTGCCGGGCTGGGCGCGGCCGGGCAAGGAGGCGCGAGGAGCCGGTGCCCCATGGGTGGGCTCCGAGGGCTCGGCGGGGCCCGGGCAGGGGGCGGGCTCCGGCTCGCCGCCGCCGGCCCTGCCCTGCCCCGAGCCGGGGGCCTCCTGCTCAGCCAGGTGCCCGGAGGCTTGGGGATGTCCGATCCGGGGGTCCCCGCCTGGGGCTCTGGGGCCGGGGGGAGAGCGGTAGGGGCAACTCCGGTGATGAAGGAGCAGCCCCTAGAGATTCGGGGACTGGGGGTCCTTTAGAGGTGACTGTAGGTGCGTGTCCCGGGTGGGCGAACCCTCCTGGTCGCCTATGCCACCTTCTCCGCCTGCCCCGAAAAGGATCGCTCGAATCGGGGGCAACGGGCTGGCGGGCTCGGCCGCGGCCTCCTCCTCTGCCCGCGGCTCTGCAGCTCTCCCCGCGCCGGAGGGACGGCTCCTTTCTCCCCGCGCGCGGCGACACCAGCAGCTGAAGGAGGAGCAGGGAGCTCTGCTCTGCTCGCGTGTGGGAGGGGGCCTTGAACGCCGCCCCAAGATTTCGCAGCTCCGAGTTAGCATCAACCGGCTCCTCCTCCTCCTTCACCTCCTCCGGTCCCCAGAGGGGGAGAACTTTGCGCGTGGCCTGGCTTCTCCCTCCTTCCCTCTCCTGCAGGCAGACGCCCCTCTGCCACCCGCAGGGGGAGGAGGTCGCTGAGCCTTCCAAAAGGTGGCAGAAACCCAGGCTCCCGACGGCGGTCCCAGCGGCGCCCTCCTGCGCCCCTGCGAGCGTCGCTCACCTGCCCCCCGCGAG